GAAAGTCTAGGACAGGCTTAAAGGGGCCAGCACCACAAATTCTATCATCAAGGGTCTGGTGAAGATGGATGTGATCACAGGGGAGCCATTGGACGTTCAGGAGGTGTCATTATGGTGGAAATAGGCAAATATTCAAAATGACTGAGCAGACACTGTCAACTCTAAAATGTTGAGCCTTTCTTAAAGCTTGTGTAAACTGATAACCAACAACAACCTGCCATTTATGTAGCACCTTTAACAGAGTAAAGAGTACTTCATGGGGCATGTAATAAAGCAAAATATCATTCAGTGATCATAAAGCTCTGGAGAACGATTGAAAATAGAAGTTGGCTGTAAACAGCAGTTACTGAGAGGAGCTTTGTCAGGATGGGGACTGTACCCAAGTGCAGAGCTCTAGAGATTAGTGTTGGAACTGTACATAGCTTATTTACTTCAGTGTTTCAGAGCCTCAATACATATCTCTGATTATACCAAGCCAAGAGAAGAAGAAGATAGCACATTTATCATAGAAGACAATGGACAAGGTGCATACTGAACAGTAATGAGCAACGGACAGTATGTGTATTTAATGAATGCAGTTGAAATGACAAAGAGTTGGGTTGAAAGAAAACCATGAGGCCCCAAAAACTATGAGGGCAATCAAGACAATCTAGACTCGGGCAATAATGTAAACAAGTGAAATTAGGTCAGTCAGTTTTGTATATCGGGAGTGATGTATGGAATGAGGTTAATCAGAGACCCCACCATCCCGCCTTACACTTTCTCTTAAATTCAGCCCTGTCCAATGTAGAGCAACAATCAACAAATCCCATACGATGTAAACGATATAGTTTGGAATGAGTCAGAGCAGACTACACCTTGATTGTACTGATCACCAAGACAAACATTGTCTTCCCTGACTCCTGCTGCTGGTCAAGGTTGATGGAAACTTTATTGATGCAAGGCAGTGAGCTCTAAAGGAATAAATGCCCCTGTTATAGAGATAGAAGACCAAAGCTTGTTCTGAAGGATGAAGGGAATTCCTTTCTACCACAGCCGTACTGCTCAAGCAAGGGCCTTGGCATTTCAGAACAGAGTCTGCTGGGTTCAGACTAATGCTTTGCAATGTCAAAGGTGAAGGTTAAAGGGCATTGACAGCGTTATAGAGAAGAAATTCAGCAAAGTGGCAACAGGGAACCTCAATATCAACGTGTGAGATTTCCTTGTGAGAGTGCTTACAACTGAGGTCGATCGATTTTTAAATACTAAACAAGTCGAGTGACAAGCTGAAAGCACAGGAAGAATTCAGCAAGAACTTCTGAAAGGAAATTGGAAGGAGCAGGGAGTGGAACTAATTAGATCACTCTGGCAAAGAGCTAGCAGAGACTTGAAGCACCAAATGGTCTCTGTCGGTGCTGTGTCCTTCAGAATAGATCAAAAGGGTAGAATGTTGAAATGATTCAGCAGGATCATGAAACCAAATGGCCTCTGTTTGCTCCTGTTTTTGATGTTCCTGTTTGGCCTAGGCTGCATTGAGATTACTGAGAAATACTGGCATCAGTCCTGACTCAATAGATAGTACTCTCACTGCTGAGCTGGAAGGGTGTGGGCCTGAATCTTAGCCCTAGGCTTGAGCGTGACGTCTATCTGGCCCACAGAGGGAGGGCTGCAGTTCCAGGAGTGCCGTCTATTTCTGAATTGTTCAACTGAGGCGCCATCTATACACGGGTTGATGTTGGAAAACTGCAAGGCATTATTTTGGAGAAGAACCAAGGAATTATCCTTTATGTCCTGACTGAGGTTTATCCATGAATTGATGTCACTAAAGACAGGTTTCTTGATTATTAATGGCTGTGGGAAGTTGCTGTGCGCAAATGGTTGTGTTTTCTGCATTACGATGAGAGTACACTTCAACAATGGAAGTCATCCATTGGCTGCCAAACACTTTGGAGCATTGTCAATCATGTTAAATGAATCTTCAGACTGACTTCAATGGAAATAAAAACCTGGAAAGACATAATGAAGGGGTTTCCAATTAGCTCTCACTTCTTTTACATTATCCCACAAACACAGGACACACCTTGTGATTTCATAAGAGCCTTACATCAAGAAACGTTTAGATTTGTAGTCATGAAGATGGAAACCAAAATCATGTAGTTTATAATGCAGCCAAGGGGGGAATGGACAACAGTCGAGGAACGGTCATGCGAGAGGATCAAATGAGAAATGAGTGTTCTTACAATCATCCCTGTTAGGAGACTGACAATTTACTAATCCAGGAGTATGCTCTTTCAAAATCTCAAGGCTGACTCAGTACAGGGTTCGGTTTTTGTGGGTATCTTTCTAAACAGGATAAGTATTGACCAAACCAACCACATAACAGACTGGTATAAACAGTCACAGATACCAATCAGCAGGATCTTACTGAGAGAATCGACAACAATCCATTAGAAATGAGGAGGAAGTCAATCTATCCTCTGAGGTGACTGAATAACAAATGGGTTCTTTCCAAAATCAATTCACCCACAGTTTATCAGTGTTAGCAAAAGGGCTAAATTCCTCTATAATAAGCTTGCTTTTGCTTCTTAATGGAACTGCACACCCAATAATCATAATTTAGTTAATAATTAGTAGACAATTGATGCTCTCGGGCAAGTGTCAGCTCCTTTAAGGACCTGGAGGCTGTGATCCAACTTGATTATTTCTGAGGGACATCACTTTGCCTAGATTGAAGGTTTAGATTTTCAGGATGTGGGCGTTGCTGACGAGGCTAACATTTATTGTCCATTAATAGTTGCTCTGAGAAACTGCTGGTGAGAACTCTTCTGGAATCACTGAACTGCATAATGGTTTGATACAAGGCCACATTAGTGGGCAGACGTGAGTTGACCACATTGGTGTGGGTTTGGAGTGACATAGAGGCCAATTGGCTCAGGTTAGCAGACTTTCTTCCCTCACTGAGCAAGGTGGCTTTCAATGACAATCTACCAACTTCATGATCAATTTAACTGATGCTGGTTTTTAATAAGCTGACTTGCTTACAAACTAAATTCAGGTTTTGAACCTAACAGTGGGGGATGTGAACTCACATTCTCTGAATTTTTATTAAAATACAAACAAAGAGCAGGAATTAGGCTATTCAACTCATTGGGCCTACCCTGCCATTTTATAAGGGTATGGCTGATCTGATTGTGAACTCAACTCCACATTCTCTCCCAGCCCAGATAACCTTTCACCCACTTCCTTATCAAGAATCTAGCTACCTCAGCCTTAAAAATAATCAAACACTCTGCTGCCAACTCCCTTTTGGAAAGAAAGCTCCAAACAAATCATAACCTTCTGTGAGTAAAAGTTTCACCTCCTCTCGGATTTAAATGGGTGACCCTGATTTTCAAACAGTGACCTCAAGCACTCGATTTTCTTGGAAGAGGAAACATCCTTTCCACATTAATCCTATCAACACCCCTTACAACTTTTCATGTGATCTTAGATGCTTGGTCTGGATGATGAGGCTTTTTTTATACTTTACCTTTGACCTCGTATGCTTCTCTCTCATCCTGTACACATTTGCGATCAGCTGGATCCACTAACGTCCATTTGCACCGCTATAGTCTGAGACCAGTCCAATATGGCACACTCTTGATCAGCAGATTGAGGGATAATTGAAGAAAGGATGGTGCCAATTAAAGAACAAAATGTGCCATCCGTTCTTGGGGATAGCTTCATGGTAGTGGGTGTAGGAGTGACACGGATATATTAGAACATTCTCGGTGTTGTATACATTGTCACAAGCTTTGTTCTCATTTTTAATTTATGATTTTGGCTGGTTTGGTCTGTTTGTCCTGGTACAACCTGGTACAATCATTATTTTGGTCCTCATACATTAGGCTTCCATGAGTTTTTTGACTTCTGATTCAGCCCTGCACTGCTCCTTTTGGACCGTCTCTGACAGTGCCACACCTCAGTCTCTTGCTTTACTACAGACTGACTGTTGTCCCACTCTGGGGTGGGCTAGTAAGCATTTTAGTTTACACTCTTATTGTATATTGCACTCATCTTTGAAATATAAATCTCTGGTACTGGCTGTTCCATCCTCTCCTCAGAATCCTGATAGCATCATGCCATTGATACATGTTCTTGCACCACATTTACGCAAACATAGCAAACACAGCTTCCAACAATGTGAACTGTCTGTTAATCCCTGCAAGGAATCACACAAGTGGATACAAACATTTTGAGTTCTTTGTGTACAATGTCCAGTTTCTGTCTGAACTGACAGAATCTCAAGGGGCACGAGTCCAAATGAGTAAACACTAAAAAACAGGACCGGTGATGGGAAAATTCTTCACACAAGATGAATCAGCAGTTGGAAATGGGCTCTGGGTAGCATCCTTCAGGAATTTAAGAAGCTGCTGTTGTGTTGGATGTACTTTGGGGAGGGGTGGGGTGGGGTGGGGTGGCCTTTGTACATGGGTGAACTACATTGTACCAAAGGGCTTTGCTTGCCTGTATCTATTTAATGGCCTTGTCATCTATTCAGGAGTCAGCAGTAAGCAGTACAGATGATAATGTGACCTCCTGTGTAAAGTAGGATTATCAAGTGGCTGAGATTAACTCAGAGCCCCCTGGAATTGAAGCTTAATTCCTAACATGTTGCCGTGAGGAATCCAAGGCAAAAGTACGAAGAGATTGATGTTCTTTATTCATTTTCTTTGAACATTTGTTGTTTATTTGTCATAAAAATACAAGTTAGAGAAGAAAAGGGCCATTTGACTGGATGGGAGGTTAGGGAATGAAATCTCCAGGAATACATGCAGCTTCAGTTCCCTGTGCCATGTTAGTATGGGATCTGGTGATGTGATCTCTGCAGCCTTTCGCAGCGCCAAAGTGACTTTTAGACCTTGTGAGCTTATCTTTAAAATAAATTACCTGTGGGACCTGTTTCTACTCTGAACATGGGGAATGTGATCTGAGCTATATCCCTGATTGCTAATTTCTGAAATCTGTGCTCTCTCTTTCAGGACTCGCTCCATATTTAAGTGATGTGGACAGTAGGCCATTCACTTCAATACTGTATGGAAATGGCCCTGGCTACTCCCTGCAAAATGGAGAAAGGCCCAATGTTTCCAACAGTGAGATCTGTAAGTCTTTGGAAACATTCTTAAATTACCTTCATGTGAAAAGTGGGATTGACCCAGAAACAGTACCAGCATGTGTGCCATCTACAAGATGCATTGCAGTAACTTGACAAATCTCCCACGCTAGCACCTTCCAAACCCTTACCATCTGAAATGACAAGGGCAGCAGATACATGGGAACACCACCATCTCCAAGACCCCCTCCAAGTCACTCACCATCCTGACTTGGAAAGATATCACTGTTCCTTTGGTGTCATGGGTCAAAATCTTGGAATTCCCTCCCTAAGGGCATTGGAGGTCAACATATGGAGTGAATTAAGAAGGCAGCACCTTCTCAAGGGTAATTAGGGATGGGACAATTAATCCTGGCCCAGCCAGTAACATTCCCACCCAGGAATGGATAAAAAGAACATAGTGTGACACTTGGTTTTGGGATATGCAGGTCTTAATTACACAAAATACACTCAGTAGATGTTTTTTTCTGTATCTGTGTGGGAGGTGGTTTAATCTAACCTCTTTTTTGTATTTTATGCCTCTTGATCTCTCTCCATTCCTCTTGACCAATTTCTTTCTTTCTCTTCTACTTTTTCTATTGCTTTTCTTTCCCCGTCTCTCTTCCCACCCTTCTCTTGCTCCCTCCTGTTTTCGCGCTCTCTCTCTTTCTCTCTCTATCTCTATTTCCCTCTCCTCCCACCCTCATTCACCCCTCACCCTCTTCCACGCTGCCTTCCTTGCAGATGAGAACAACTACCTGGCACAGTCAGCGGTGCCATTGAGGCAGGAAACGCACGGGGGCGAAGACGTTGCCATCTTTGCGAAAGGCCCTATGGCTCACCTCTTCCACAGCGTGCACGAGCAGAACTACATCCCACATGTGATGGCTTACGCAGCCTGCATTGGTCAAAACAGGGAGCATTGCGCCGAGTTTGAGCATGGGTCCTGTCCCAGTGGCACATGGGTCCCTGTGGGGTCCGGCACCATCTTGCTGGGATTGTTGACGCTACTTTCCTGCGTTTAAGGGAGCAGTTTTTTTTTTGGAAAGGTGCTCTGTGCCTGTTCATCAGGAATTTCCCCCAGGCCCAATCCTTCCCACCTCTTACCAACACAGTGATTCTGGTCTGTGGAGCAGTGTGATCCCAGCAGAATGGGAGTAAGACTAGGTGTTAGTACTCCAGTGGACATAACCCTCACACTGCTTCATGCAACAGAGTGACCACCACCCTTCCTCTTACCATACCCAACCTTGTTTACCCCCATGCCAACCTTGCATTGAAAATCATGAACCTTAAATAAAAACCACTAGCCAACTGCATAGCAATAGGAACATTCAAAGATCAATTTTATTTTCTGCTGTTTTTGGCAACTGGCCCCTCCTTCCCTTCCCTATTGCAGCTTGGCTGTTCTGCAGACTTGACTCCAGGTTCCTTTGTTTATACCCCTGCTGGATGAGGCCCATGCTGGGAATAAGGAACAAATGGACCCTGCATTGGTCCATACAACCACCGCCTTCTTCAAAGGGACAACGTTCGCTGCTCAGAGTCACGTACCCACCTTCCGTTGCACCCTGTTAAATCTGAATCGGACCAGCACCATTGTATGAAGGAGAGCCAGTACTCGTCCATTGCAGTGAAGACTCTCTCAGGGCTGGAACCAGACCGAGCCTGACTGTAAACAAGGCAGCACGGGGGCTCCCATTCCGCTGGGTCAAGCTTCTGCCTTTGACGAGCTTATGGGTTAAAAAGCAATGGCATTTAATGACTTAATGTATCTGGTCAAGTATCAAGTCTTAGGGGCTTGAGTGGGCAGATGTTGGATTTCTGTCCTAGGTTTTAATCACAGAATAGCTTTCAGTACAAGCCAGTTATACAGTGTCCTGGCTGTTAACCTGGAGAGTAATGTGATTGAAACATGGGAAAAGATTATTAGGAGCTAATTATCCAGGGAGTGAGCTGCAAGAGCTGGCACAATGGAAGAGGAGGATTAATCATGTTCCTCTCATGGTTGCAGCGGAATTGGTGCTTGCTGACAGTACTGGCAAATGAGCACCCTTTGCCTTGCATTTCAAACGACCCCCAGGGGGTAATCCAATTGGCCAAAATGTCCCACAAAGTTATATGTTTTTGCATAAGCCAATCACTCCTCTCATATCCTGCCTCAAATCACTAACTTTTCAGATGGTCAGTGTAACAGGAGAATGAAAGTTACATTTGCAGAACTATCTTATTTTATTTTATTGCACTTTTCCCTGTATAAGGAGCAGTTTAAATATCAAACATTAAGCCAGCAAGTTATTTCTATCTGCATGTTTTGTTAATATTTATCCCTTTTTTTTAATGAAGCGCTAAGTTTGTTATTGTCGGGACACTGCTGTCCTGATTGAATGTTGAGCGGGAAGAGTTTGGTTCCCCAATCTCTGTCAACGCCCCTCTCTGGCCAAAGACATGGTGATATAGATGATCCGAAGCTGCTTGGCTGTCACTGTGCCTTGTTTTCACTCCTCTCCCCTGGAATTGAGGGCCGTGCCGGGGAGAGACAGTCCATTTGATGTGCCCGAGATTCCTGCTTTGATACGACGGTCAACGGGCCAAGGTCCAGGAACCCCAGAATCCCCGAAACAACAATCAGAAAATGGGGGTGTTCTTCATTTCTGGAACTCTGAGTCCAATTTAGAATGACCTCTCTGACTTCCGCTCGGTCAGTACATCAGGACGAACCACCCCAGCTTCTGCAAAACAATAGAGCCAGATTACAGATTCAAACGTACACACTACATCATTAACCCAATTGAGTTACTGCTGAGGAGCAGAAATGCCGTAATAACTGTGAGATCAAATATGCGACACATTGTGTAAATCAAATTTCAAACATCAATTTTAAACTGTAACCGTTTTGTCATGTTACCAATGTCTACCCTGTTTGAAATTTCAGAAATCTTTTATAAAATAAAGTTTTCTTTTCACTGTTTTATCCAGTGCCTTTTGGAAATCCTGCTTTCTGGTCCTGACTTACTTGGTTACTGAATTCTGACAGCTTGATTTTATTTGATTTTAGAATCATTGAGTTTTACAGTGCAGAAAGAGGCCATTTAGCTTATCATATCTATACCAGTCTCCCTAAAAGCTACTCAATCAGTCTCATTCTCAGCCCTATTACTGTAGCCCTCTAAATTCATCCCTTTCAAGTACGTATCCATCTCTTTTGAAACCTCCCATGGAATCTGCCTCCACACTCTCCCAGGCAGCGATCTTCTCATCTCACTCCTCGCTCTCTTGCTGACAATGTTGAAATTGTGACCCCTAGTTATTGACGTACCAACTAGTGGAAACAGAATATCCTTCTTTACCCTGTTAAACTTGTTCATAATTTTGAATGCCTCAATAAGGTCACATCTTAATTTCCTCTGCCCCAAGAATATTAAGCCCAATTTCTCAAATCTTTCCCTGTATCTAAATTACTGGTATCATTCTAGTAAATCTCCTTTGATCCCTCTCCAGGGGTTTAACATCCTTCCTTAAATAAGTTGCCCAGAACTGAACACAATACTGGAAATGTGGTCTGTCCAATGATTTGTAGAGGTGTAGCATCACTGCCTTGCTTTTATACTCTATGTCTCTATTTATAAACCCAAGGATCCTTTAAACCTTCTTAACATCTGTTTCAATTTGCCTGGCTACCTTCAGAGAATCATGCACGTGAACCCTGAGGTCCCTCTGCTCCTACACTCCCCTCAAAGTTGTACCATTGAGCCTGTATTGTCTCTCCATGTTTCTTCTACCAAAATGCTTGACCTCACATTTCTCTGCATTGAAATTCATCTCCCAGGTGTCTGCCCATTTGGCCCAATTGTCGATGTCTCATCATCCTCACAATTCATTATTCTTCCTAACCTTGTATTATCTTCAAATCTAGATATTTTGCCCTCAACACCCATCTTTGACTCTCTTAATGTGAAATGTTCTCCTTGTGAATAAAGGGCTGTGTGCAGGCCTTTCTCATCCAATGGCACTGGAGAGGTCAGTTGTCTAGAAATGCCTGTATAAATCTTCCTCTTGCCTTCACTTTTTCCCAATGTGACCTTGTGCATGAATCACTAAAACTGCTGAAAAGGGGAAAATCCACCTTTCGCAAGGTTTTCAGTCAAATACTCCGCAGTATCCCTTTACAATACCGGTGAGCAGGTCCTTACACACTGAGATTGTGAGGAGCTGAGCAGTAAAGTCGGCAACAGATGGGTCTCCAGGGGTCAGTCAGTCAGAGACAGGAGTCCTCTCCCAGTGACACGAGTATACCCAGCTCTAGTTAGAGCTTCCTGTGATCCCAGAGTGTGAAACAATAGTTATAGATACTAATGAAGAGTGTGAAGTAAAAGACAGAAAGAACATACATTTAGATGACACCTTTTACCACTGAGGATATTTCAAAGGCATCTGCAGTTTCAGACTTTCTGAAGTACAGTCATTGTTACAACATTAGGAAACATACCAACCAATGTGCGCACAGGAAGCTCACACAGTTAACAGACAACTCCTGCTCTCCTAGTAATGTTGATTGAGGGTTAAATATTGGTCAGCTTGCCTGTCCTTCTCTTCAGAATTTGGAATTTGAACTCCCGACCTCCTAACTCAGAGGAAAGGGTGCTACAACTGAGCCACGGCTGATACCAAAACTGTACATCAGAATAAAAAAATAAACAGGTGCAGGACCAATCGTCTGGACGCAGCCAATTTTTAACAACAAATTCTTTCACTAGAGTGGCACAGTGGCTAAGTGCTTAGCACTACTGCCTCACAGCGCCAGGGACTTGGGTTCGATTCCACCCTCGGGTGACTGTCTGTGTGGAGTTTGCACATTCTCCCCGTGTCTGCATGGATTTCCTCCGGGTGGTCCAGTTTCATCCCACAGTCCAAGATGTGTAGGTTAGGTGAATTGGCCAGGAAATTGCCTGCAGTATTCAGGGATGTGCAGACTCGGTGGGTTAGCTATGGGAAATGCCGGGTTACAGGAAAAGGGTAGGGTGTTGGGTTTGGGTTGGATGTCCTTTGGAGGGTTGGTATGGACTGGAAGGGCCAAATGACCTGCTTCTACATTGTAAGGATTCTATGTGGCCATCACTGGCTGGGCTAGCATTTATTGCTGATCCCAAACAGTCTGGGAAAATATGCTGTTGAGCTGCCATCTTGAACAGCTGCAGTCCCTGGGGTGTAGGGACCACCACAGTGCTAATAGGATCTGAGTGCTAGTATTTTGACCCAGCAACACTGAAGAAGTGTTGGCATGTTTCCAGGTCAGGATGGTGAGTGGCTTGGAGGGGAACTTGCAGATGGAGGAGTTCCCATGTATCTGCTGCCCTTTGTTTTTGATTTCAAAAATATACTTCATTCATAAAATCATCTATAAGTACATGCAAATGTTCTAAATCATCTTTGTACAGTCTTGCAGGGAAAAGAAAACAAACAAAGCATTGCAGCTTTGACATTTCTCAGAGCTGCTCTACAGTAACAAAAAACAAAAACATTTTTTACTCGTGCAGGAAACTATTTAGGTTCATTTTGAGGCACTGATAGTGTCCAACAACTGAACAGACCCCGGTTATACCTTGGCAGGAAGACCTTAGACTGTGGTCTTTTTCCACTGGGCCTTGGTGGCAGCGGTCCCAAGCTTTAGTAAGTCCCTCAGCACGTAATCCTGGACCTTGCAATGTGCCAGTCTGCAACATTCAGTCGGGGTTAACTCCTTACACTGGAAGACTAATAAGTTTCAGGCAGACCAAAGAACATCTTTCACCCAGTTACTGCCCTTGTGGTAGAGGCTGCAGGTTTAGGAAGTGGTACAGGTTTGGAAGGTGCTAAGTTAACTTGTGAATTTCACCCACATTGACTGACAGAGAAAACACTCCTGTGCTAGTCTGCATCTGCTCTACCTGGTAAAAATGTGAACGTAGTCAATATTTACAGCACAGAATATTAATTATTCAATGTTTAATTATATTCTGTGATGGACATTAAATTGGGATTCAGTTGATCTTCTATACATAGAAGCAGCCTAAGAGTGTTATTTTGATGTTTGGATTGTGTTTCTCTATAAATGCAAGCTTATAAATTGTGTAAAGATCAGAGTTGAGATCTACCCTTCATTATTAGGTTTTTGGAGTAGATCACAGAATTTCAGATAACTTCCAATTCTACTCCATTTGAAGAGCTTATGAAATCAGCATGGGCAGACCATCAAGTTAAGTGACTCCAGGATTTATCTAAATATAACATTCCGTACATCTAGGATTCCACAGCACTGGTTCAAATTGGAGCACATCAGTCTATTCATTACCTGAAGATCAGATACACAGTAATTGCTGCATCAGGATCCTGGAATTTCCTAAAAACCAAAAGAACTGTGGATGCTGTAAATCAGGAACAAAAACAAAGTTGCTGGAAAAGCACAGCAGGTCTGGCAGCATCTGTGGAGGAGAAAACAGAGTTAACGTTTCAGGTCCGGTGACCCTTCCTCAGAACTGGCACTTCCTTCCTAATGCACTGTGCTGTACCTACACCACATGGAGTGCAGTGTGATACACTCATACAGTTACACAGCATGGAAACAGACCTTTGGTCCAACTTGTCCACACCGATCTGATATCCCTATCTGACCTAGTCCCATTTGCCAGCATTTGGCCCATATCCGTCTAAACCCTTCCGATTCATTTACCCAGCCAGATGCCTTTTAAATGTTGCAATTGTACCCACTTTCACCACTTCCTCTGGCAGCACATTCCCCTGAGGTCCCATCTCAACCTAAACCTATGCCCTTTAGTTTTGTACTCACCTACCCTGGGGAAAAGACCTTGGCTATTCACCCTATCTATGCCCCTCACGATTTTATAAACCTTTATATGGTCACCCCTCAGACTCCGATGCTTCAGGAAAAAAATGCTCCAGCCTATTCAGTCTCTCCCTATATCTCAAACCCTCCAATCCCAGCAACATTCTTGTAAATCTCTTCTGCATCGTCTCAAGTTTAACAACATCCTTCCCATAGCAGGGAGATCAGAATTGTATGCAGTATTCCAAAAGTGGCCTCACCAATGTTGTGTACAGCAGCAACATGATCTCCCAACTCTTATACTCAATGAGAAGGTGGCTCAGTATTGTTATAACAGAGATGTGATGCTTGGCTGCTAACTGATTATGATTCAGGTAGAGTGCTGCTACCAATGCTCCTTCCTAGGCTGCATTATGGGCTTTCTACTCATCCACACCTAAGTCACAACAGAAGAGGCTTTTAGATGAAGTTTCATATATCTGGGTAACCATACACAACTTAGGTGAACTCTTAGGTGGATTGACAATTACGAACAAGTGATGGATAAGACCATGCCAAATCCCAATGGCCCTCTGCCCAAAATGCCTGATGCTCCACCCAGTGGCTGTGCTATAGATATTTTCTAACCAGTCTGTTCAGAGATGGTGGGTGGAACATAAACCCAGGCCTGCTCCTTCAGAGGTAGGGATGCTACCACTATGCCACAAGTGACCAGTGGCTATGTTATACATCAGAATAGATAAAGCTTCAGATTAGATGACAGGGACTGTAAGACCATAAGACCATAAGATATAGGAGCAGATTTAGGCCACTCAGCCCATTGGGTCTGCTCCGCTATTTGATCATGGTTGATGTGCTTCTCAATTCCATTCTCCTGCTTTTTCCCTGTAACCTTTGATCCCTTACTCATCAAGAACCTATATATCTCTGTCTTTAATGCACTCAATGACCTGGCCTCCACAGCCCTCTGTGACAATGAGTTCCACATAGTTATCACCCTCTGGCTGAAGAAATTCCTTGTCATCTCAGTTCTAAATGGTTGTCCTTTCACTCTGAGGCTGTCCCCTCAGGTCCTAGTCTCTCATACTAGTGGAAATATCTTTTCCACGTCAGCTCTATCCAGATCTCTCAGTATTCTGTAAGTTTCAATC